AAAACTTAAGTTTCCTTCTCTGAAAACGATAAAGAGAAATCATAAGAGTCATGAATTATTAGAAAAATATTATATTAAATTCTGCTTTCTTTAGCAGAATATCATAAATACAGTGTTTGATAATATCACTCAAGTTCACCTATTTAATAGAAACTTACATTTTCATTTTTTTTTTAAGGTAGAAAAGTCATAATCCTGTGTAGAAGTTAAGTACAACTTCACCTGTGGTTTGGTTAATCCTAAATTTGCAAAGGAAATTCATCGGGCCAGTCCTGTGTTGCTGGCCCCAACTGGGGAAACAGTAAGAACAGAAAAATCAGACTGAAATTGTAAAAGAAAAATAATGAAAAAACTACAAGGGGTACAAAGCTGCAGATAAGGAAATGGTGCATATGAGTGAGAAACCACCTCCTGCTTACCCTGAATGGATTCATGCTAAATTGGATCCTATTCTGGATGGCAGAGTGAAGATATTGTAGACTCAGATACTCTTTGGAAGATTTAACACAACTACAGTAGGAATGCAAAGAACTCCTGACTTAAACAGAATGGGTGGACATGTGATTAAGACCACCACATCCTTCTTACAATCAAACGCCATTGTATCAATTTACAGTGAAGTCCCAGTAAAGGGCAAAGTGCAAACACTGTGAAAGGTACGTATTAGTGGTAAAAACTAAGAGAGTTATTAGAGTTACGGTGAGGTGTACTTTCAAGAAATAAGAAAGTAGATAGAAAATGACCATTAGAAATTATAGCTACAAATGATATATATCAAGAAAGTATGACTGAAATTAAAATTTCATGCAAAAATGAAAAGGATTAGCCAACGACAAGTAACTATTACAGTATAGTGCTGTACTACCAATTAAGCTATTACCAAAGTAGGCAGTTGTGAAACATTTTTTCTAATGAAACAAGTCTTGTAGAAATAGTAATCAAAGAATCTGTTATGCTAAATAAGAACTGATAATGTCTACTCATGAACAAAATGTGACCCTTTTAGAACCATTCTAGTATCATATAATCTTAATAATTTAGGAGGAAAAATGTTTAAAAGGGAAAATTCTATTGAAATGGTGGCAGGAGAAAAATATTAGTAGAAATACAGTCATGTAATAGTGATAGTAATAAACTTTATAAGAAATCTATCTTATCTACTGCAACAGCCTAAATTTCCAGTTAAGGAATAGATTTTTTTAAGAAAGTAAACTAAGAGGGTTCTTTTCCTCTCTCCTGTGAAAAATTCTTTCACATTTTTGCAGATACTGGGAGGAAGAAGGAATTCTTAAATATTGATTTCTTTTCTCATACATTGATCATCACATGACCACAGAATTTCAGAACTAAACTATTATATCTTGTACATTTTACAGATGAAGAACTGGAGAAACAAGGAGATATTCAGTGGCTTCTCTTAACCAGAGACAATTCTAACCCACTGGAAAGTTTCTGATTTCTAAGTCATAACCATGTAAACAATCTGTCACAGTTCTAAAGACATTTGGCAATTAAAACAACTGCTCAAGAAAAGAGAGAGAAAATAACTACTTTGGGCTTTACAAAAGCAAACCACTGCCCCATAAGTCTCATGGAATGGAGAGCAGGGGGAAGACTGAGCATGCACAAGGATCCAAGATCTCACTAAAGCCAAACTGCTTCTCTTTTCAGTCACAGTATTACATTCCTCAGAATGAGATCAATTGGCATCAGAGAACTGGAAAAGCTCCATGACAGGGAAGGGAAAGGTATGGATTGGTGACCAGGACCTGGAGTGTCATGGGAAAGATTTAATTCTAGACAAGGTTGTGTCAGGCCAGAAATTGCTCTAACCAAGCTAGTCCAAAAGTAATGACAGAGTAAGGGCTTATTGATGTGTAGGTAGGCGTACGTGTGAGAGCTGCCCAGAGAGCTGTAGGTCTAAATGTTCAGGCCGAGTGGACAGGGAAGAAACCAAGCGACGACTTCTCCATGTCCTTTATACCATCAGGCTAGCAGGGACAACTTAGAAATACCAGTCTTCACCAACATAGTAATCTAGTAACGAGAACAGCAAATGCACAAAAATTGGGTCAATCTATGAACTCATCAGAATTTCACTAATATTATGGAACAAATTATATAAATTCCAAGTAATACATAATAATACATGCCCATAATTTAAAAAGTCAATTTGAATATTATGCCTTATACTGAAAAATGGAGCAATTTCTTCTACCTTTCCCCACACCTAAAGTGTCTCTTAGGAGGTAAGCATTTTTTGTTGTTTTAGCTGTGGGCTTTTTCCCCCTCCCTATTTCTACAAAATCTATTTATGCCGCTTTTTCTGTTTTTAGGGTTTTTTTTTTTTTCTGTTTCTATGTGATCTTTTATTTTCTGTTTCTACTGTTGAAGAACAGGACTGAGCTCTCCTACTCCACCTACGCCCCCTCTTACCCTCTCTGTTTCTGTCATCCCATTGCAATTGTATCACATACTTGGTCAAATGAATATTCAGTATTTGTATTTCAGTGGTGACACAAATATTGTTCACATCTGAGTCAAGCAGTATATATTTTCTTTCTTAGAGAAAAACCATTGTAGGAAACAGGTGGCAAAAATCCTCAAGAAACAATTACACCCAAATCCAAAGTTATATAAAAACATTATATATATTAAGATCAAAAAGTATTTATCTCAGAATGCAAGGATGGGTCGACATGACAAAACCATTGTAGTTTACTACAAGAATGTCATAAAAAGGAAAATGACATGATAATCTCAATAAATATAGAAGAGACATTTATTAATATCCAAAACCTCTCTATGATTGACTAAAAAAACCTTTGTAAGAACAGGAACAAAAATTTCTTAACATGATAAAAAGTATCTAACAGGAATCTACCAAAAACACATTTAATGGAGAAAATTCAGCCACATTCCCTTTGAGAATTATGTATAAATGTTCCCCTCTCCACCATCCAATGAGTCAATGTTTAAGCCACTACTAGAGGTCCTGGCCAAAATGTAAAATTAGACAATTAGGACTAAGTGTTCAGCAAAAGTGTTGAATAATAAAATAAGTCAATATATTAGAAGTACCATATTTGAAAAGACACCATTTGCTATAAAAATGGAAACTAGTATCTAGAAATTAGACTAACAATAATGAAAAATTTAAATATAATTAGACAGTAGAAAAATACCTGAAAAGAGCTATAACTTATTCATTGAAAAGACAGTTTAATGTGGCAAAAATCCCAATTTTCTCCAAATTAATCTAAATTCAAAGCAATTCCAATTAAATTCCTAACAAAAATTTTTTGGTGACGTGACAAACTGATTCTGACATTTTTATGTTAAACGAAACGTCTACAAATATTTAAGAAAATCCCAGCAAAGAACAGGATGACTTGCCTTACCAGATATGAATTACAAAGTCATTGTAATAACAAGTGTGGTTACTAGAATCAGAACAGACTAATAAGTCAACTGACTATACTAGACATCCCAGACTCACTTATTTATCAGGCTACTTCTCCTCATATACCAAAATCTCATACATGCATGGGTCTGAACAATAAGTTTAACAATGAAATTTATTACAGTTACTATTATATTTAGATTTTATTTCTTTCTATCTAGGGAGATTAGGCCTGGAAAATACTAGAACTCAAATATCTAACTCCCCTCTTCCTGAGATAGCATTTTCTACTATTTTTATCCCCAGCTCCCAACTCTCCTCCATCTTCTCCTCCCTTGACCACCAAAAATTTTTCCTCTGTTTAGTAAAGGGGCCTGGGAGGAAGACAGAAACCAATCATATATCACATTATATCTAAATTTGCACAACAGAATTTTACAATATTTATAAAGCATATATAATAAGTGTTTAATATAAAGTGTTCAAAAATATTAGTGCTCTTCACTCTTCTCCAAGTACCTAGTCTGTTGTTCTCCAGAACTTCATAACTAGCTCATACTCTAACTTCAAGAATACAGTTAACGACAGCAAATGCAACACACGATGAGGTATAATATATGAAAGACAACACTTTTCTACAGAGCAGATACTCTTATACTTTATGTATCCGAGTCACTTGGAGAACTTGTTAAAGCACAAACTGCTAGGCTTCATTCCCACAGTTTCCGATCAGTAGGTATGGGGTGAGTTGCACTTGTAACAGCTTTCTGGGTGGTACTAATATCCCTTGTCCATAGGCCAAATTTTGCAAAACACTGCCCTACAGAGCACCGGTCCTCAAGTGAGGGCGATTCTGCTCTCCTAAATTAGGTAGTGAGTGCATATATTTTTAGTTGTCACTGAAGAGAAGGAGAAGTAATACTAGCATCCAGTAGTACAGACCAACATGCTGCTGAACACCCTACATGCACAGGACAGCTCCCCACACAGAGCATTATCCAGTCAATAACATCAGTGGTGCTGAGGCTGAGTTACCCTGCTGTAGAGCAAACCGTAACTTACTCCAAATATATGATTTGGCCATTAAGTTGGTGAAAAGTTGTTCAGTGAGTTTCAGAAACTTGACATGGAATAAATATTCATCACATGGAATTGTATTTTTCTTTAAGTATTGATAACTCTCAATTTTACTCATCCACAGTAAAATGAAATTTTAGAATTATTAATATTTAGAAGCATATTGGGCTACAGAAAGAAATAGCATTTATGTAATGTTACTGGCATATTTCCAGTAAGGAAACATAAATATTCATTTTGCAAGAATTACAAGAAAACTAATTATATTAAAAGACTGACTGCCTTGAAACATAATGATCAAAATGTTTATTTCTGAAGCTGAGTGAAAAGCAAACTACTGTTCATTTTACTATTATATACAAATTTAGTATAAATGAAGTATTATACAATGAACAATTCATTTTAAGAAAAAGTAGATCACAGCAGTAATCAATCCTAAGTAAATATGCCTGAGGAAAACATGCTTTATATATACATGCTCATGTGTACATGTGTATATACAACACACATATGAACTTACTCCAATAGGCTGAAAAATAAGTCCATCCATTTCATGACTGACTTCTTTGGCAAAATTTCCTTCAAGTAGCTATAAAATAAATATACAGTTTCAGAAACACAATAACCAATACAATAATTACTTAAAAAGTATTTTGATTTTCTGTAAGCTTTATAAAAGCTTCTTAATACATAAGTTTTAAAACATGAAATACAAAATGGGGGAGATGGATGACCCAGAGGGATCTAGGTTCGTCTAGTGTGTGTTTTTTTTTAATATACAAAGACTTTTATTCCATGGCAGGCTAGATATCTTGAATAACTTGAATAACAGTCATAACTGCAACAACCAAAATGATGGATAAAATATTAAAACATATTTTTTAAATGCACTTCTGAGTCAGCACTAAAGGAAGGGAGATGCGGAGGCCAAAAGCAAAGTGCAAGTAAAACTCTGGGAAATAATAAATAAAGGGAATAAAAATAAACATACACAAAAAAAGGAGACAGCAGAGAAACTTGCTTGGGGACAGCTGGAGGCCGGGGGCAAGGGAGAGATCCCCTAGGAATTTGTGACCATAAGCTAGCTCAGACATGGGAATTGCAGTCCAAAAGTATATTATCTGTCTTCCCCAAACTCTGAAGCAGAGAATTTTTAACCTTTCTTTTTTGTCCTACTTTTTGTTTTATTGTCTTTTTTATATTTGTTCAAGCAGAGAATTTCATTACAAGGACACACAGTATAAAATACATTTTCTCGGCCATTTCATTCTTCAAAATCTGTAATTTCTCTAAATTTAGGGAAGTTCTGGAAGGAAAAATAAGAGCAACCCTAGTTTCTAACTATTTTAAGTAAGACCAACTGAAGTTTGAATGTTTACATTTCCTTAAAGCTGTCAAATTCACAGGAACAGAACTTAAAGAGGCTTGGGAGAGGGGAGACAAAGGGGTTAGTGATTAATGGGTACAGAGTTTCAATCTGGGAAGATGAAAAAGATCTGTAGATGGATAGTGGTGATGGTTGCACAACAGTGTGAATATACTTAATACCACTAAACTGTATGCTTAACAATGGCTAAAATAGCAATTTTATGTTAATGGTATATTTTACCATAATTGTTTTTAGAAACTGTGATGCTCTTGATGCTTTCTTTCTTGTTTTGCTTTCTCCTCTTATTACAACACTAAGAAACTGCGTAGCTGGCAAATTGAGCCTCTTAGAGCCATATTATCCAGAGTTTAGCCAAATGGGCAGAAATTTCAGAACAGTTCTGAGACTTACACATTTGCCTCCAATTGACTCATAGGTTTAAATGATCTAGCTACCTGAGGAAGAAATTGGCCAAAGTAAAGAACTCAATATGGATTTAAAATACTGATTTCTTAGAAATTCCTTTCAAGAGAGAAAAAATATAAACCCTAAGCATCAGAGTGTCTAAAATACCAGCCTCTATTCTTGCTGAAAATTTGGAAAACAATGCTAAACTTAAAGCCCTTGTTTCATATATGTGATATATTCACCCCAGAGGAAAAATACTTTGGAACTCATGCTCATACTGGGAAATATACATACGTGTGTGTGTGTGTGTGTGTTTGTAAGACCTTTGTATTCTATTTAAAATATCCATGAATTAATGATGGGTAATGGTTCAAACGAGACAAAAATATATAGTCTTGATCCTTCTTATACCCCATCATGTAAGAAAAAGTAATTTGCTAAATTCGTAACACAAATGCTGCTGAGGAATGCCGCAATGAAAACCAAATACCATAAATATATCTTTTAAAAAGATTTTTAAAAGGTTAAAAGAATTTGTTCTCCTTTTGCATCATCTATACCAAGTAAAGGAAGCTTTTTCATTCTTAGACCAAACTTCTCAAACTCATATAAAGGGCCATCCCTGGATATAAGGTATGTATAAAATAACAACATAACGTATAGAATTAGCAAGATTCTATATACCTGTTGCAGAAATGAAATGGTTTCTTTATTTTTTATTTCACTCTAACTTTTTATGAGTAAGAGAAATTTAAGGGACTATGAATTGGTCAAAACAAGAGATACTCCTTGTTTTTACTCGTTTTACTCCTTATTGATTATTCCAGACAACATGTTAACACATCAGCATTTACAACATCATCACCTATCAAACAGTAAGGAACTACTATAAAGTGTTTTACTTAGTTCTTAACATGTATCATTCAAAACACACAACTCATAAGTATTTTTAGTTTTGTATTATTTAATTTGCCAGAAAAGGAAACTGAGGCCATCAGAGACATAAATAGCTTCAAGTCAGACACTTAAAAAAAGTAAAATCATGCAAAACAAATTTAAATCCGACTTTAAAAATAAGGAAGTAACTAAAAAAAAGTTTTTTTTGACTCTTTGAAACAAATGCCCCAAAGATTTCTGCAACTTACTAAATATAAAGTTCCTCCAATCATCATTTAACACAGGCTTTGAATGTACTGTAGCCTGTATTATAAGAATAGGCTCATGAAAAGGAAGATAAATTTACTGGAAGTGAAAAGAGGTTTTTCAGGAATTTTATTAATGTTGTATAAATTAACTGATTTATTTGTTCACATTTGAGGTCATGTATATAAAATAGTATGTTAAGTTAAAGATATTGTTGTTTCCCATTCACAATTCTTGAGAGAAAATTTATCCAACCTTGTTATGGTTATCTTCAATGCACCAATGTCTTCATCATTAGAGCCAATATTTAAATCATTTAATCCATTTCCATTATTTTCACTCCTGTCTCTGAGTTATAACATACTTCAAATTAGACATGAGACTATCACTGCAGATGTTATTTCAAGCTACAAGTACCAACTGAATAACATTAGGGAACATTTTTCCCCCTCATTCATTCTATAGGTCTAAAGTCACAATCTTGAAAGTGCCTAACCCTCTTTAAAAGGCTGGTTTAAGGGAAAGCTTCACTGTCATTTACCATAAAAAGTGGCAAGAGAATGTTGCTTCTAATCTGACAGTAATAAAAAAGCAAATAATCTAAAAAATCATAACTTTTGTTAAGGCCATTAGAGAGCTGAGGTCTCTGGGCAACCAGGTGAACTGAATCCCAATCCCCTCCAAAGAAAGATGACACATATTAACTGACTCACATTTGGAAGAAACTGTTTTATAACTCCAGGCCTCTCAATAACAAGCTCAGGTACCAACAGTCATAAACTGAAGGAATCTGAAGTCTTTGGGGCACTGACAATACCTATTTAGCAACACAAACCCATCTAAAGTATATGACAGACTGATTCAACCATTAACACCCCCTCCTCCAAATGAAGCCTCTTAAGAAAGTGAAGTAAGAAGAGGTATGTCCATTACTAAGCATAAACATATTTACCTCACCTCTTTATTGTTCACACAGAAAAAAAAATGACTGTCCAGCATCTGATTAAGAAACTATCCCACATACAAAAAGCCAGAAAAAAATTACTACAATCAATAAGAAGGGAAGACAAAGGAACAAGACACAAAGATGACCCATATTTTTAAATTATCAAAGATTTTTAAATAACCTTAACATTTTAAAGGAAAAGGTGAAAAACACATATGAACAAACATGGAATTTCAACAAAGAATTGAGAACTATAAAAAGGAGACAAATGAAAATGAAAGAAATAAAATGCACAATATCAGAGAAAAAAATGTTAATCCATGGGAATAATAATCAATGGGATTACCAGCAGACTGGACACAGCAAAGGAAAGAATCACTGAACTTGAAGATGAAAAGTGTGTGGCACTTCTTCCAACTGAAATACAAAAAAGGAAAGGGCAGGGGGGACAGAACTAAGAATCAAAGAGCTAAGAGATAAAAACACAGAACACCTCTACAATTGGAGTGTGTTAAGAAAAAGAAACAAATAGAGAAGCAGAGGAAACAATTGGGAGGAAAAAATGCTTTGGATTATTGCAAAATTAAACACACATGAGTGGCATGCACATACACAAAACCCCAATGGCAGCCTAGAGAAAAAGGATTTAGGAGAAAAGTATACATAGTCAAACCCCAGCAAGAGGGAAAAAAATTACATGCAGAAGTACAAAAATAAGATTGACAGCAGACTCCTTGTCATGAATTATATAGGCCAGAAGATAATGGAATGACAGCTTTAAAGTAGTAATAGCAAATTTGTAAACCCAAAATCTTTAGCAAATGAAAATGCCTTTCAAAAATGGAGGCACAATAAAGGTTTTTTCAGGCAGGCAAAATCTGATCAAATGAATTTCTACCAGGCCAGAACACAAGAGATTTTAAAAGAAAGTTTTCTAGCAGAAGGAATATGATACAAAAAAAAAAAAGGAACTAATAAAAAAATAAGCATCAGAAATGGCTGAAAACTAGGATAAATATAAAATATTTGTTCCCTCCTTTCTCTCTTTAAAAGATCACTGACTACTTAAAGCAAAATATTAAAAGGTATTGTGGGGTTTAAAACATATTTAGAAGCTAAATATATGAAAGGATATAGAATAATATTGTTGTATGGTTCTTATCCCAACTATGAAGTGGTATAATATTATTTAAAGGTAAACTGTAAAAGGTTAAGGAGATATACTATAAATTTCAGAACATCTCCAAAAATGTAAAACACAGATGTATATACCTAATAAGCCTAACATGGAACTATAATGAAATCAAACAATTCTCAATCCAAATAATGGCAAGAAAAGAGGGCGAAAGAAAATGAAAATACATGGGGCAAATGTAAACCCAGGTAGATCTAAATCAAAACCTTACTAATAATTACATTAAATTTAAATGGTATCACATGCCCCAATTAACAGGCAGAGATTGTCAGATTGGGGGGGAAAAAAATCAAGAACCAACTTTATGCTGTCTACAAATACATGCACTTTGTATATAAAGGTTACATTAGAATTAAAAGTACAAGGATAGAAAAGGATGTTAAATCTTAACACTAATGAAAAGAAAACTGAAGTGGATAAGCTTAACAAGAAATATTACTAGAGATAAAAAAGACCTGTTAACAATCTCAAATGTATATGCCCCTAAAAAGAAAACCTTAAGTGAATAAAAAAAAAAAAAAAAAA